TCAGGTGGCGCAGTGGATAGCGCAATCGACTTTCACTGGGCTTCGTTTCCTGATTCGGCGTGAAAAGGTATGGGGTCACCTGACTGACCACGTGGGTTTTCTCCAAGTATTTTGGTTTCCTCCCAATGTAAGACTCCCTGTGCGCTAACATCCGGGCCAACAAGATTGATTATTTATTATAAGTTGTAAAAACTTGTTTCATAATTGTTGTAACATAAATAAAGTTAATATTACATAAAAAAGACTGACAAATTGCTGAGGTATTGATATAGTGTCCTTTGAAGATCACAGAGGAGGACACTGCACTGCAAAGCCAGTCAATTTCACTGTACCTCAAAGGATCAAACTAGATTTTTGTCTTATCCACAAGCTTAAGGCGGACTACACCGATCGAGCCTTTGATTTTGCTATGAAATATTCCAGGGGTGCAGAGAGCCAAAGTGAGCGTACGTAACCCCTGGAGTATCGAGGATGTGGAAACTAGTCCCATCAATTAGTTTTGTTCCTTTTCACTCCCTCTCCACCACTCCTCAGTTAAACAATCCATATCAATTTATGATAGAGTTTATTAAAGTTAGAAAGGGTGAAAGGGTTAAGGATCCCAGTACCACGGCCAAAAACTGTAACTTAGTATTGTAAATTGATTTATCCGGCATCCTGAGCCTTGATAGATAATTACTGTTAAGAAAATCATAACTTGTGGGATATTCATGAAAAACAATAATGATGAATGAAATAGACAAAATGTTATCAACAAGAGTGAACATCTGAGCGAAAAGATATCAGCGGGGCCGTGAGTAGACCAAGACTTGAACCCTGAACTTCAGGTTGTTATACTATCGCTGTAACTGATTGTGTAAATGACCTATCGTGTCAACAGAAGTGTATATATGTACCGAGCCCTGGAGCTTAAGTGTGCAACAGTTATATCTAAACAGAAGTTAAAGGGATACTATATAGCTACTGTAAATATAGTAAAAACAGCAGTGCAGTTCAGGGACAAAGTTCCTTAACTCATTCACCCCTGGAGACACATTTGAACTTTTCCAATTCAAAGGTTGGAATAGTTCATTATAAAATTTCAGGGGTGAATGAGTTAAGGAAAGTTCTGAAACATCATTCACCTGATAAGATTTTTCCATATAGTTCTACACGTAACATGCATGATTTCAACAAGAAACAATTATTTTTTGCCTGAAAAAACAACAAGAATCATAAGACAGCAGGTCAAAAGGGCCTGTAATCCTTAATACATTCACCCCACGAAGACACATTTGAACTCTTCCAATTCAAAGTTTGGAATAGTTCATTATGAAATTTCAGGGGTGAACGAGTTAAGCCTGCATCACCCTTATTTAATCATGATGGCCAAAAGGCATTCAATGCTAAATTGCTGAAATGAGAAAGGCTTTTAATTTCTAACAAGCTAACTGGTATTCATGATGCATCCGACTATAACAGATATCTGATCAATCCAAAATATCTTTTTGGACACTATACTGAAAGGCCTCCAATTTACAAGGCAAGTTCTTCATCAAAACAACTACAGATGACTCCAAGGTTACTAGTTCTTGAGAAGAAATCGTTTAAAGTTTTTGATACATTTGACCCCTATGACCTTGAATGTAGGAAATTTATTTGAACAAATTTAACTATTCACCCCTGAAGACACATTTGAACTCTTCAAATTCAAAGGTTGGAATATATGAGTTCATTATGCAATATTAGGTGTAAATGAGTTGAAGCCCTTGACATTCCTTTTCTTTTTAAAAAGACTGTGTATGCATCTTGGAAAACAAATTAAGTTTAAATTGGAAACAACTTGTTTGTAAATTTTGCAATTGAGAAATTTAAATTAAAGGGGACCTCTTTTTAACAAGATTGCATGCCTTTGTGTAAGCAAGCAAACGTTATTAAATACAACATTCTGTGATAGAAATACTTATTTATAAGTACTCTAACATGTTGTAATGCCAAGTGCTACTACAACCTACACTAATCATTTACATGTAGTGTATACCAGTTGTCTTGATTACAAGCTAAGCACTACATGCCAAAAATGCGAAACATGGTTTAATCATCTTACAGTGTACATGTAGATACATGTAGGTATGTCTTACCTACATGTACAGGCAGTACTTGGTTTGGAGGGACTGGAAATCGTGTAATGGTTAATTATATAATCACAGACAGATCTAGCTGTCCAGGGCCAAGCTCTGACAGCAACATGTCCCTGATCCAGTTTCGTAACCAAATCATCCAGGTTTATTTTGACAGTGATGAAATCTACATGTATAAATAATGAGCCCCAGCTGGTCCTATACTCATAGAATTTTGATGGGACTCGAAAGCATTTTTGGAATACCTTAAGGTTGACATTGCAGGACTCATTGAAAAAAAAACGTGAAAATAAATTGTAGATTGATCATTGTTTTTGTTGGGAAAATGACAGACATAGCTGGGGTTCCAACACAAGTGCCTGAACCATGTCCCATATCCTTTCATAACAAATTGGTTTATTTTTGTAAGCAAAAATGACTTTTTCTCCGACGTCATACCGAGAGAATGTGTTTGTTTCCAGATTAATTTGTCACTTTGATTGAAAACCCAGGATGATTAAGTACTGAAAATCACTGATCTCCGCTGCAGAGTTCACAAAGGGGATGTTTTTTTTAATTGAAAGATGCATAATATTAGCATTCTGGATCCGCCACTGTACAGTACATATGTCAAACTCAACTGCAAACACCAACTTAAAAGACATACTCAACCTTGACTTAATTATGTAATATGTTTTAACTGTTACAAAGTACATGTAGTACCAGGAATTGAAGCGATACCAGCTGTGGAGGTCACATGTGTGTGGTGATGTATTGTTTACAGTTGTGATTATATGCCTGGAAACCTGCCCAGACCAGGAATACTCGGGGCTACTAGAACATCAATGTTTATACTAATCTCAAAGTGTTAGAGGATGTATACAGCCTCTGTATAACAGGCTAAGGGTGCTAGTTAAATCACAACAGTCTAAGGGGGTAGGTCAGAAGTGAAATAGGTGTGTGGGGTGTTGGTGGCGGGCAGCTGGCCGGGGCAGGGGGGCAGGGGGAGACTTGAACAGTATGTATGTGTCATTGATCTAATAGAGTGGCTTAATTACGCTACAGTACCAGGTTAAGTGCTAATTAATGTAAAGACAATAGTCTGAGGGGGCAGGTTAGAGGTGTAATATATGGGTGTAATATGTGGAGTAATGGGTGGAGGAGGTGGGAGGGTGGGGG